TTAAAGTAATGGCAAGAACACGCAAGCAAGTGAGAGGATTATCAGCATGCGTTTTATACATTTCTTATTAATTAATGTTTTAATTGTTGTATTTTAAGGATTTGATGTAATGTTTTTGTTTATTAATTTATTACTTTATCTTTACTAAGAATTTTTTAGATGTTATTATTATTATTATTATTTATTTATTTATGGGATCACAAATGTTTCAAATTATTTTATAAATTATGTTTTTGTTATTATTATTATATATTTTTTTTCTCATTTTTAGGTATTTTAAAATGTTGAAAGCATGCATATAAGTAGTGTTTCTACACAGTATAAGTCTAAAAAAAAAAAATTTGAGTAAGTTACAATTTATGCATTATATTTCTAATTAGTTAGAATATATTAAGTGTAAAGATGATTATGAGAAAAGGAAATAATGTTTTATCACATTAGTTTCTAATACATGATACTTTTTTTTTCAAAAAATAATTCATGAAACTCTTTTATGTGGATTTAATTTATTTATGATAACTTCAAAAATAAATCATACTGTTTTAGTTGGTTACCTTTCCCCACCAAAATCAACAACAAAATAGTCTACCAATTTTAGATTAGACGACTAAAATTCTAATTTGTCTAAAATAAGCCATAAAATTATAATGTGATTAACAGTTTGAGTCTAAAAAAAGAGAGAAGGAAACCCCCTTAACTATATCCACCAATTGTATAACTTCCTTAACAAATTTTCTATTTTCAAAAACTTATAAATAGGAAAGAAGGAAAAAAAAATCATAAGCAATCAACTAGCGACTAAGATAGTCGCACCAAAGGTCGTGCATTTCTTCCCTTGAAAGAAAAGAAAGAAGATGAAATCATGGATGATATGTTTGGTCTTAATTAGCATGTTGGTGGTGGGCCAAGAAGTTGCAGCGGAACACAAATATCTTAAAATTTTTGAGTGTCATCGACCTAACCCACCTCCAAGTTGCAATCCATCTCATCACAATAAGCATCATCCACGAGTTCCTGCTAATCCCTATAATCGTGGCTGCTCCGCTATCCATCGATGTCGTGGAGGATGATGGGAATCGATGTTTTCATCTCTATTTATCTATCAAATATGAAGAGACGAAAAAAAACGACCAACAGCTATTTACATTTGGTAATGAGTATTCCAAATCTTACCATGAAAGGTTGAATGAATTGATATATGTAATGGCTATTTTAATAGTTGATTGTATTTTTATTTAAATAAGTTACTCACTTTTTAGTGAGAGAAAATACAAAAATTTGATGTTTTTTTAGTACAAACATGTTTGGCTTCCGTAATGCTCTTTAATTTTATAATGTGAGGTAAAAGAGTTGCTATATTTTTAAAGTTGTTACACTATATTTCTAAATTTGTTACATTGAAGGGTGGTTTAAGAATATGAAAATTTTTCCATCATAATATTATTGATACCATTTATATAGTAAAGTATATACTAATGTCAAAAAACAAATATATATATATATATATATATATATATATATATTTATATTTTTAGGCATACTATTATCAATATATATAAAGGTGTATAATTGATATACCAATGTAAATTGCATCACTAAATAATATACTTTCAATTTTTACAAGATATTATCATGGGACCAATTTATTATTTAGACTAAATTTGCTATTATTTCAAAAGCCTCATGTATTAATTAAGATAAAATTATTTACTTCTTTTAATATCAATTGGTGAGGATAATTTAATTGACATTCAAATCTTTATTTTTCCATCATATATGAAAAGAAAAAGAAGACGATAATTTAAGAAGAGGTTAAATATATGAATATTTACTAATGTATGTATGTATATATAGTTTTTGGTGGAAACGATATGGAGAAATAATTTTATTGTTCATAAACAATGTGTCAATCGCAGTTTATTTGTAACTATAGGATATAAAGTTACATTTACACAAATATGCTATCATTTAATTAAACATAAAACTATACAAAAAAAAAACATAAAACTGACCATTGTCATTTAATTTTTCCAAATCCTAATAATTTGATAGGGTCTTTCAAATTAATTGGTGCATCAATATAATGTTTTTTTTTTCGAAGAAGTGATTTCATTAAATTAAGCCACATGGGCAAAATTTGAAGGGAAGTCCCTTTGAACAAGATCTAAAAGCCACGTAGGGAAATTAAACAGCCAAGCATATGTGGCAGAAGGGGAAGTGATCCCCCATTTTGCTAAACCATGGGCAGCACGATTGCATTGACGGGACGAATGGGAAAAGGAAATGAAGGCAAAGCAGCAGGTTAGGGCTTGAATCTCCATCACCCAATTTTGTTCATCTCCCCTTGTGTGTATCTCATTTCGAATCAGTTGAATTGCCAGCAAAGAATCAGATTCGACTTCTAAATGGGTGAAATTTGAAGCAGCTGCAAATTTCAGACCCTCCAAGATGCATCTGATTTCTGCAAGAAGAGGCGACAACGGAAATGGAACACGAATTGAAGTCGCGGCAACCAGAGAACAAGAAGAATCTCTTATGATGCAGCCGAAGCTCGTGGATGCGCCCCTACATGCCGCATCAGTGTTTAATTTTAGAGAGACACTCGATGAGGGGCGCCAATATTGAACGACTGGCCTATGATTCGACTGAGTTCGAGGTGAATAGTTACTCATCTGTGCCTGAGAGTGTGAATCAAGGAATGGAGTTAACCATTCACACTTAAATTCAACAGGGGATACCTGTTTCCCATGGATGAGAGAGTTCCGGTCATTCCAGATGCCCCAACCGGTAATAGCCGCTAGATTTAGATCTTTTGGTTCTAATTGTTCTGTGAGAGAGCTCCATAGCTCCAAAAAACTGATATTGTCTTCTGCAGATAAACAAGTCAGAAAAGGGAAAAGGGTCCTCCAAATCTGACGCGCTCGCTTACAGTGAAAAAAAGCATGAATGATACTTTCTCGCCTATCTCCACAAATGGTGCAAGCTGGTAACTCTCCGATTCCTCTTAGTAGTAGATTCTGGGCTGTTGGAATATGTTCGTGCGCTGATCGCCAAATAAAAATCTTAATTTTCGTAGGAACAGTAAGTTTCCAAATGGAGTTCCATTGCGTCCCTCTATAGTTCGTACTAGCAGAAGTAGCATTACATTTTAGATGCATGTACAACTTATATCCACTGCGAACACTATAGTTTCCTCTCTTATCATAGTGCCATAGCCAAGAATCTTGTAAGTTGTAGGAGCTTATGGGCATAGAGAGAATCAGATCTCTGTCTTCATTACAAAAAGAATGTGAAATAGATGTAACATCCCAATTTCCATCGGCTGTAATGAAACTGGCCACTGTGGTATCCAAAGCACCATTGTTAAACCTTAACGGCTTGAAAGTGGTGGGTCTTGGAAGCCAAGGATCTGAGAATGCTTTAATTGTAGATCCATTTCCCACACGCAACCTTAAGCCTTTCACTAGAAGATCACGGCCCCACAAAAAACCTTTCCAAAAGTAGGAGGACTTGGAATTATTTGAAGCTTGGAGAAGGCTTGTATCCTTAAAGTATTTATGTTTCAAAACCTTGGAGACTAAAAGGTTTGGATGTTGAAGGAAGCGCCAGACATGTTTAGCCACCAGAGCTTGATTAAATCCTTCCAAATCTCGGAAATTAAGTCCTCCACATTCTTTTGGATAGCACATTCTTCCCCATTTCATCCAGTGTAGTTTCCGAGATTCTCCTGTGGAGCCTCACCAAAATCTTGCAAACATTTGAGCAATTTCGTCACAGAAACCTTTAGGAAGACGGAAAACGCTCATGGCATACGAAGGAATAGCCTGGCCAACACTTTTAATGAGTACCTATTTTCCTCCAACAGAGAAAAAAGAGCGCTTCCAACCCTGCATAGCTTTCCAAATTTTGTATTTTAAATAGAGCCAATTCATACCTCTCCTCCTTGTAAAATGTGAAGGGAGACCTAGATAATTTCCGAAATGTGAAACCAACTTGACGTTTAGTATGCACTGAAGGTATTGTTGCCTCTCAGGGTGGACATTTGGAGAAAAAAGAAGAGCAGATTTTGAGAAATTAATGCATTGCCCAGATGCCCTTCCATAGGAGTCCAAAAGTCTCCTTAGTGCTAAGCATTCTGATTCCAAAGAACGCAGGAAAATGAGACTGTCGTCTGCGAAAAGTAGATGAGTAATAGATGTGTTATTTTCCTCAAAGTGAATACCTGTAAGTCGTCCGGAGTTATTTTCATGGTTGATCAAAGCAGACAGGCCTTCAGCACACAAAAGGAACAAGTAAGGAGATAATGGATCACCCTGTCTGATACCCCTGGAGGGTTGGAAACAACCTCCTGGAGAGCCATTTAAGTGGATCGAAAATCGAACTGTTGAAATACATTGGATAATGGCCTGAATCCATCCTTCATTAAATCCCATTTTCCGCATTATGCACTCTAGATAGGTCCATTCAACACGATCAAAAGCTTTACTCAGATCAAGTTTTAGGGCTGCCATACCTATTAAACCAGATTTACAACTATTAATAGTATGTAAACATTCATGCCCAATAATGACATTGTCAGATATGGCGCGAGAAGGGACAAAAGCTGACTGCGCATCTGATATTACTAATCCAATCACATTCTTTAGTCTATTAGTGATTGACTTAGAAATAATCTTATAAGAGACGTTGCACAGACTTATCGGACGAAAATCTGAAATCGATCTTGGTTGCTTAATCTTGGGAATAAGAGCAATATATGTAGAATTCCATTTTTTAATATCATCCCCATTATTAAGAGCATTAAGACATGCCTCCAAAGTTTTAGGACCCACCACATGCCAATAAGTTTGGTAGAAGAGGGCAGGAAATCCATCTGGTCCCAGAGCCTTTGTTGGGAACATTTGCCTGATAGCCAACTCAATTTCCTCCTTAGTATATGGAGCTAACAACTGCTCATTTACCTCCGAAGTGATCCGTGTGGGAATAAGATTTATGATTGCTTCAATATCCAAAGCTTGGGGGATGTTGTAGTGAAAATAGATTGAAAATATGCCATGAAGATATTCTCAATCTCCTTCGTATTCTCTGTCCAGCACCCATTTTGATCCTCAATGCCATAAATGGAGTTACAAGATTTCCTTAAAGAGGCCTTCTTGTGGAACCATTTAGTATTGCAATCCCCCACTTAAGCCAGTCTTCCCTCGAGCGTTGCTTCCAGAAGATTTCTTCTAACTCCAGAAGGCCAGCTAAATCATTCTCAAGAGCATGAATAATGGTGAAGTCTAGCGGAAGAGGCTGATTGTAAGCGTCTATAATAGCCGCCTTTTGTGCTTTAATCTGTTTGAATAGATCCCAGACATTGGATCGGCCCCAATGCCGAAGGGCAGATGAGGATGCCTGAATGCTGTCAGAAAAAGAATAATTATGAGTTGCATTAGACCAATGCCCCTGTTCAGATATAAGTTGCTCACATTCTGGATTGCAGACCCAATATTCTTTAAACCGAAAAGGTTTTGAAGTCCTTCGAACTCGGGAAGAAGTTATTTTGTTGAGATGCAAAGCAATGGCTCGATGATCAGATTTCGATCAAGGAAGGTGAACTACCGAAGCATCTGGGAAAACATAATTAAAAGTATCATTGCATAAGAAACGGTCCAGCCTCTTCCATAGTTGGTCTCCAGCGAATCTGTTATTGCACCACGTGAATATCCCTCCTTTAAAACCCATGTCAGTGAGTGAGCAAGCATCCATGATATTCCGGAAAGCCTCAATCTGAGAGGTATCATAAGAGGAGGTGTATGAGGCTTCATAATTCCATAGGATTGCATTCATATCACCTCCAATAAGCCAAGGTGAGGCATCTAAATTAGAAATTCTCCTGAGGAGCTCCCAAGTTAAATGGCGTTTATGAGCAGCCGGGTGACCATAGAAACCTGTAAACCTCCCTGAACAATTATCAAACAAGATAGAACAGTCAATATGATTCGGAGAGTAGGAACGAATAGTGACTTCAATATTATCCTTCCAAAGAAGACAAAGACCACCACTCCGTCCTGAACAACATACAGTGAAACAACCATAAAAGTTGAGCGAATGTTTTAGTTTATTAGTTAAACGCTCAGTACACTTAGTCTCCATAAGAAAAACAATAGAGGGATTCTCGTGATATAAGAAATCACTTAGGACCCGGAAAGTTCGAGGGTCCCCCAACCCCCGAACATTCCAACATATGATATTCATGGCTCTCGGCGAGGTTGTTTAACAACCTTCGCCGATTTAAAAGAGTGAATAGTTTCTGGGTCCTGCAGTTGGGCTTGGAGCTTCGATTTCTTCACAGATGTAAAAGTTTGGGGAGTAGCTTTCCGTTTTGGGCAATACTTGAATACATGTTGGTCCTATCCTTCAGAAGATGGGCCTGATCTGGCTTTCTGTTTCCACCTCCTCAAATTACCAGAAAAACCTGGGCTTAGGTCCATCCTAGTTAGTGAATCTGAATAGGAAGGCTGCATTGATGGTGCTCCTGATTTCAAGGGAGGATTCAAATTGGAAATCTCCTTCACATTAATTCTTTGCTCACCCTCATCAATCAAAACGGGACTTTTTCCTTGCTGAGATGGCTCCTTTAAAGTAGTAATAAATGCCTACGTGGAATTAAAAACGCCAGCATTTGTAACCGCCCCTTTCTTTGGAGTTTCCGTAACTGGTGATTCCATCGGAATTGCAATTGGACCCGTCGCCGGCGCTGACTGTACACCTTGGGATCCGGCACCGACGGGTGAAGTAGAGCTAGAGAAAGAGTTATTTCCAGATTTGTCGAGGAGATCCTCCTGAGGTTGTTTCATTTGAGGCATGGTGGGTTTAACAGTTCCTTGATACCTGAGCCATGAACCATATTGGTGTTTCTTCCGTGAAGAACTAAGTCCTGCATCAGAAAAACACTCATCACAATCTTTGAGAGTATGGTCTAGCTTACCGCAATGATAGCAAAAGTCTGGTAAGCGCTCGTATTGTATTGGAATCCATGCTCCTCCAATGGGACCATCTAAATTAAGCTTAATTCCACGTCTCAATGGTTTAGAGATATCAAGCATTACACGGACTCGTAGATTAGAGCCCCAATCAGGATTCAAATCATCACAATCAGCTTCTTCAAAACCACCCAAAGCGTTACCGAGACGGATAGCCATATCTCTTGTTATACAACCTAATGGTAGGTCAAAGAAACGAACCCAAATAGGCAGTTTTGTGAAATCCAATTCTGATGGTGGAATCAAAGCTACTGGCTTGTTAATCAGGACCAACGTCCTGTCAAAGGTCCATGGCCCAGATTTATAGATCTTGTTTCTGTCAAGGGCTCGAGCAAATGAGAAGAGAAATAAGTTGTAGCCTAAGCTTTGAACCTCAAATGCATTATTTTCTAGCTTCCATGCGGTTCTCATTGTGTTTTTCATAACAGGGCAGGTGATGGGTCGCTTAATAAAGAGTTTCCCAACCAAGATCTGCTCGAGTCTGGATCCAGTAGTAGCAGGGGCCGAGGCGTCTACATCAATAGCAGTTTCCTCTTCTTCTGAGGTTAGTTTAAAATTCTTCCATTCCTCTAACAAATCAAATGTTGCCATTGTAGGGAAATGAAAGATGGCCAGTCAAGAATCCTAAGAACTGTCAGAGACAGAAAGGGTGCTCTCATTTTAGAGAGAAAAAAAGTCCAATTAGTTTCCTCTTCTATTGTGATGGAACTTGTGCATCAATATAATGTTAGTATATAGGTAAGTAAACTACTTTTGTATAATTGATATTTATGGAGAATTATTTAAAAGAAAAAAAAAACCAATAAAAGTTCGAATATAGCCCCTGCATGTCGTTGAACTCGGAAAAAAACCAATAAAAGTAAAAAAAGTCTATGTCAATGGATAATTATGTAAATATTATTTTAAAAAATCAGTAACAAATAAGCATTTCACACAATTAAATATGATTAATATTAACATTATGTCTATATAAGTGAAATTATGTTGATATATTTTTTAATATTTTCTCGGCTCTTTTGCGATACAATGAAAATGTTAATTCACCTTTTATGTTTACCCTAATGTAAAGTATATGGACGATGTATAAATATAACTAATATATGGGTTCTTACACATTTGTTCTATTTTTGCATAATATTTATCATGGGGCAAATATGCTGTTATTTAGGTCAAGTTTGTCGCTTATTCCAAGATCCCCTCGAATTAATTAAGATAGTATGGTTTAGTATATTATTCCTAAAACAAAGTGATAACGTTTTTTTCCTTGAGATAGAGGCTTTTGAAAAGTCATATTTACTTCAAATGCTTTTGTCAAAGTTGATGGGATGTGAATCCCGGAGCGGAAGCGGATTATCGTTCATCAATTTTGAGAAACAAAATCAAAGGTTCAAAGATGAAATACATGGAAAATTTGTTTTACCTTTGAAGAACTTTTCTTCAATGGATTAACCAACGAACACCACCAAACGATCTTCCGTGCTATCCTCTGGATACCAAGATCGTGCTTATGGGAGCAATCGTTTTGAATAATAGGGATTGAGAGTGTTCAGTTCTGCATTCAAAACAAAACCAAAATCCCCACTCTCTTGCTAAGATGCAGGGAGTTAATTAATAACATTAATTTTTGTTATTAATTAATTTATCTTTAACAATTAGTAAATTGAAACCCTCAGAGAAAACATGACATTTCAAATATGGGGTGAATAAGCTTGTAATGTCGTCCTTTTTGTGGACATCAATCGGAATGACAAGTAACCTCACTCACCCCCCAATTATTATCTCTTTCATATATATATAACATGAAATAAGTTATTTCTATTAGATTTATGAATTATATTACTAAAAAGCCAGGATAAAAGTGTAATTATGGATTATGACAAAAGAAAATGGTGTATCACTCTTTTTCTTTTTTTTTTTTGTTGTCAATTTAATCCATATTTAGATGGCTTGAAAAATAATTTTGAAATTGTACTTGTTGATGATTTCTTGTTCACTGGTTACTTTATCATAACAAAATTAAAATAGAAAAAAAAGGAAAAAAGGGACCACAACAATCTACAACAATCTATCCATTTTAGAATAGGTTGTAAGTTGGATCTCTCATCCCACGTGTTGTGCTAAAAAAGTCTAATTATTCAAAGTATTTAGTAATATAAGTAGTGATACTTACCCACTAAATATCTAGTTCCTTAAAAAGGAAAATACTAAATAAATGCTGAGCTGAATTTAAAATAATATTAATTAATTTATTAACATATGAATTATTATGTTACACTATTACACAATTTATAATATAATTATATTTTACATTTTCTAATTTGAATAAAACGAAATAGCATATTTATCAAAATTTTTATCTAATTATGCATTTTTAAGTTCTAAATTTAAGATAGGAAAACATTGAAAATATAAAAATGTTGATTTATAATTTCCACTATTTGAATCAAGAAACAAAATCTGGATTGTACATTTCTAATCAATTCCAATTGAAAAATGTTGTCTTAGACTAGAGCTTGTTTGAGTTTTTGATTATGATACCATGTTAATATGCATATTCACAATGAGAGGAGTAACACATGTCTATTATAAAAACTTTGTAATGTTTTTGTACTTTCCAACGTGAATCCGTAACATGTCCCTTCAAGATCGTGGTTATTCGACTCATTGATCTTAGTTGGATCCCATTTTTAGACTGGATATTTGTTTGAGCTTTTGGACTCTAATACTATATCAATATTTATGGAGTTTCATTTCAAAATCAATAAATATTAATATATGAATAGTCTGAAATTTGGAATAGATATCTATTTGATTCTAGAAGTTTCAAAAAAGACCAATTTTGGTCTCTGAAATTTGCAATACATGTCTATTTGATTCTCAAAGTTTCAAAATAGAAATTTTTAAAGTTTCACAATAGAAATTTTTTGTCGTTGTAGTTTAAGAAAGAGTTTTAAAAAATACCTTATAGTTAGGAAAAAACTTGGCTCCTAAAGTTAAGTTTCTCCTCAACATCATTGAATATTTGATGACTTATTATTTCTCTCTCTTAGTCCTTACACGATTGGAACGAGGGAGAAGTAGGGTTGAATATTTGACAACTCATTATTTCTCTCTCTTAGTCCTTAAACGATTGGAACGAGGAGAAGCAGGATAGGGGCGTATCGCCGAAGAGAAGAACAATTCCACCGTTGACAATGACGACGGCGATGAAGAATCCGGAATGGGGCTCCGGCGAGGAAGAGAAATTTATGCAGGCAGAGGTCTAAGGAGGAGGCGGAAAGCAATTTGATATAGTTTTAATACCACTATTTTTATTTTATCACCAAAAATACTATATACAACAACATTTTCATTTCATCATCTAAAGTCTAAACGTTCTCAAACAACTCGTAATTATACATTTCCTAAATTAAAAAATAAAAATAAAAAATAAAAGAGCAAAATTGAAAAACTCCTCAAAGTTTAGTTTAGTTCAGCTCAGTTCAGATTATTCGTTTTGGTCTCAATTTTTTGGAGTGGGCCGCCTTGGAGACCAAGAGCCCAACTCCCAAACACACGGCCCAAATCCCCAAATTCACGGCCCATCTCACCCCCTCCACCTCCATCTCCACTTCGTTTTCTCTTCCATCGCCACCGCAACCGTCATCGTCTTCTTCCGACGAATCTCCGCAGCCGTCGGAATCGGCTTCTTCTACTTCTCCTTCTCGTTCCTCCGGAATCTCCTCCAATCCAGAGAACCCCCTCTTCTTCATTCTTCTCACTCCCAGAACTACCTTCTCAAACATCGCCCCCTGTTCCTCCACATCCACGCAAATCTCCGCCGCCGCCGCTCCGGCGAACTCTCCTCCAAGCGCGCCCTTACACTCCAATCTCCACTCTCCCTCCTCGCTCCTCCTGAAAGTCCCCTCCACCACCTTCTCCTCCCTCAAATAAACTTCGAACCGCGCCCCCTCGCTCGCTCGAACTCGCTCTCTGCTCCCGAAGATCACCGCGTCCTTCCTCCACACCACTCGCTGCAGCGCCACCAACGCCGCCGAGTCCGGCCGGATCTTTGCGCCGTCGATCTCGTCAATGCGAGGGAGGTAGAGGAGAGTGAGCGATTCCGGCGGTGGCTTTAGGGATTCCGGACGCGAAAATCGGACGAAGAAGGCTTTGATCTTGAGACGACCGGGGAAGCGCTGGTAATCCGTGGACCTACACATCGATTTTTGTTTCGGAGATTCCAACGAGTCGTGCTCCGATTTCTGAGGTCAAATGTATTATAAGCGAAAGGGGAAGAACGCGGAACGGAGAAGGGAGAAGGCGGCCGTAGTTCTATGGGTGAGAGCACACGGGATTCGATGGTGACGTGGACAAACGGACAAAAAATTGGTGGCAACATTTGCATTTGCCTTGCCGCGTGAAAGGTGGGTTCTTTGTTCGTTTCCTGAAAGCTGCATCATTCCGGTGCTTCGAGGTGTACGGTTTATTATAAATGCACACGAAATCCTTGGGATTTTTTTTTTAAACCATGCTTTTTTTTATTTATTTATTTGTGAAATAACGCTAGTTTGTATAATGGGGCGGAAATTTTATTAGCGTGCGTTTGTAGTTGTTCTTCAAAAGAGGACTACTTGATTTTAAATAAACAAAAATTATATTATCATAAATTTTATATTTTATATAATAGTATTTTATTGAAAATATATGGCAGCCGTGTAGTGAGTGTAGCACATAGTTTACATCCTTGACTTTTCAAGGTTCGAGATGGGTTCGTGTTTTTTTTTTCTTTCTTTTATTTTAAAATCAACATTTACTTATTATTATTATTATTATTATATATTATTGTATTTTATATTATTAAAAAAGTAAAATACAATTATATATAATCATAATAAGCTATTAAAAAAGTTTAATAATAATAATAAGTAAAAAGTTGATTAATAGTACACCGATAATAGATGTCCTGTATGCTGTACAATCGGTGTATGCGCTACATCCACTATACCACTGACAGATATCCTACATTTAATGCTGCTATATGATATATAAGAATATCTTATTTTTCACAAAAATCAATATCTCTACAATCGTCTCTTGAAGAAATGATCACACCAACAGATGGTCGTGTCTTAAAGAGACGATCGTATCTTAATTAAATTTTCTTTTTAAAAATTAGTCTTGTGAAAATGGCATGGTCAAACGCATGGAACAATTTCAAAAACATTATTATTATTATTTTAGAATAAGTTTAAAAACAATATAAATATAAAAAAAACACTATTTTACAAATAAGTATTATTTAAAAAAAATCCCGAAATCCTTAACCGTTGATTTTATGATTTTGTCGATCCAGATGTCAGATTGCTACTTTCGGTGGTGTACCAGGGCGACCGTTTTCAGAAGCTGAGGTATGGACTTAATACTTATTCATCTTTTCTTTTAATTTTATTAATAAAAGTTGATGTATTAATAAACCATTATTTATTATTATATTTAGACACACTGCTGTTACAATAACCAATATAAGTGGTAATGAATACTTATTTTGATTAAGAAGTCATGAGTTTGAAACTCTCTACAAAACCCAACGGTTTGTACTCATGAAACATAACTAATAAGAGAATATATATTTTATTATTTATGTAATATTTCTCAGATATCTCACTTATCAGTTATTTGATCGTGACTATTTTTTAAACGTCTATTTTGATCGTTGTATTAAAACAAATAAAAAAAAAGCTATTTTGATCCTTTCATTTTCATTTTCTATCTCATTTTTTTAATAACAATTTTAACATAAAACTTTGATCACTAAATTTATTGAAACATAGTCATAAAGGTTTATTAAAGAGTTTCTAGTACTGTATATAAATTTTGCAAATAGGGATCAAGGTAATTACTTTAGAGACCGAAACCGACGTTTCAAAATTACATAACTAAAATAAACAAGAATAGAAAATATAATAGATACCTTAACCAGTTAAGCTTAAACTCAAGCCCGTGATGAAAAAAGATACTAAATTTAATCCAATATGTAATGATAAAATAAGACATGTTATTTATCAAAAGATAATAATGTAATAAGACATATTATTGATTAGTATTCTTTTAATACAATAAATGTAGGGTGAGTAAGTGCCAATTCGAGCATAATTTAGTAGATAAGTCATCTATTATTATTTCAAATGTCGATATATGGTTCGATCCTCTATCTTTCAATTGTTAAAATAATAATTTAGAAAAAAGTGAAGTGGGATATTGAACATTTGACCTCATAAAATTTAATTGGTACGTTGGATTGATGATCCATATAATTGATTTATATAACTTCTTGATTGGGGATCTCAAAAAGTTTATGGGTTTTTAAATATTTGATTACCTTATTTTAAGTTGATTTAATTTTCAAGTTGTGATTTTTAGACCAAAGATTAGTCTTGATTCTGTCGTTATAAGGGCAAATCAACCTTTTAACTACATTTTATTAGTATAAGTATACTACTACACATTAGGTATTTATTAAGAAACATTCTACCCATAAATTATTCTCTCCCCATTTTTCTCTCTAAATTCGCAAATATAACGGTGTGTATAGGGAATTTTCTCAAGTCGTTGATCCAAAGATCAATCACTGCCAACATTAAGATTTGTAAAATTTATTTTGTATGCGTACAACTTAGTCACCCAATCAAAGTGAGTATAGCTCCGCAATAATTGACATATAACTCCAATTAAAAGGGTGTGAGTTTGATCTTCTAACATATGTTATACTAAAAAAAAATTAATTATAGTCGATCAATAATAAAATGGGTGCACATCAGTCAACACCTGAATATTGATTAAACGAGTTTATTTGTCTTTGAACTAATTTAAGGAAGCATGACACTATACTATTTAATTTTTAAAAACTTATAAAATTTGACCACTATAGATTTTCAATCTCATGGTATCACTAGATCGATTTATAGAACAATTTATGAGAGGTGACATAATCACTCTTGTCCATCGGCCATTAATTGGGATCAAGAACAGTAATCAGCCATTAATTGGATTAAAGAAGCCCAAAAGTCAAAAAAAGCCTCTGATGGGCCAAATGGGTTGGCCCAAATTTTTAGGAAAGTGATCTCGTTCAACTTCCACCAATGAAAAATAGGAAACATATAAATTTAATTAATTTGTTTGTCAAGTATTAGTCAATTTCAATTTTTAGATTTGTAATTTTATTAAATTGAACCCTAAACTTGAATTTAGACAGATTTCTAGGAGCTAACAAATAAATCCAAGAAAAAAAAAACTAACAAAACAAAGAAAATCAAGTCAGAAGAAAAATATCCAAATCCATCTATAAAAAAAAACTTTGAGTCTAGCCACAAAATGAAATATAAACAAAATAGTGTTGTTTGACTGCAAAAATATACTACAAACCTTAAAAAGAAAGAAAACTTAATTAATTAATGACATCACGCATTTAAGTTTCATTACAATTATATTTAATTCAAGCTTTCAAATTCATAGTTCAACCAAACTCCATAATAAATTAAATCCATACTACCACTTTCTTTTTCAACAAAATAAGCTTCCTGAAGTGGGGATGGAATCAATTCAAAGTATATAGACATCATCAGAATGAGAGAGGGGTCCAATAATAATAAGAATAATAAAGGCAAAGGCACGTGGCAGGCATACTCCTCAAAAACCATATAGAATCTAAACACAATTTTTGAACAATATGACTATTAGAACTTTGATTTGACAGCATTTTCTTGTAACGTTGATTTTTTAATATCACTTGGATGTATGCCTGTTCGTGATTAAGGAACGCTCAAATGTGATTAGATGTTGTCTTTATATTTATCATAGAACTTTGTGAAACTATCGTATCCATGGACTAATTTCAAACATCCCATTTCTTTTATTAAAAACGTTATTGCCTTATTATTACTCATTTTCATTTTGATTTGGATAGTAACTGGATTAATCGAGTGCACATTCATACCACTAGAAATAGTCATTATTATATAACCTGCATATATTAGAGTATTTGACCTAGCATGGCATTCGACAAATATTTTTTATGCTTAAATTAGTTCAAGCTTGGGTAAAAAAATGGTTACTAAGGAAATTATTTTTCACTATAATTTTTTCTTTCTTTCTAATTTTTCTAACCTCTCTTTTGCTCTCAACTTTACTTTCTTTCTCTAAAATCTTTCCATCACATATTTGATTACATTTTTAAATAATTAATATAGATTTTATAACTATTTTACTAAATTATGAATAAAATATTAAATATTTTTTTAAAACTCATTATTTATACTAGTAAAAAATATTTTTTTTAAGTAAAATAGATATAATTTATGTACATTTATTACTTTCTTATTTTTTAATTAAAAAAATACAATTAATTACTAAATCAGTTAGTTTTTCCACGGATATCCCTATCCCTAAAACGGAGATTCCTAAACCTAGATCTGGATGAGGATCAGAAAGAACCATTATGAAACATATATAGTTTTTATTTTTTAAAAATATAAAATTAAAAATAGAAAAATAGAAAAACCAAAAAACAAAAAACTAGAAATAGAAATTGTTTATGCGGGAATTTGGACAACGGTTCTGCACGAAGCGAGCTCGAACCCGGTCTCCGGTTCCGACCTGAACACTAGAGTGGACCTGCACAAGAGGGTAAGCACTCCGACGCTCAAGTCAGTATAGATCAGACTCCGTAAGTAGTTCGAGGTGAGATTCGATACCTGAGCGTGAAATGAAGTCCTCTATCTATAGGTGATGGATCCGACAGTACACACGACCGGCGGTTATATGTTTTTTCCTCATATCGGACCTGTCGAGTTCCGAGCAGGTCGGACCCCAGTCAGATCGAACCTTGGTGCCCACACTTAGTCCTTTGTACTGGGCGAACCCAGCCACCTCGGCGGGGCCGAGGTGGACCTAAGCAATCCTTTTTATTTAGTTTCTTCAAACACTAATAAGGGTCCTCCACGTGTCTCGGGTATGTTTACCCCCAAACAGAAATCGTTATCAAATTCGTAAAAACTAAAATTGACATTTTAAGAGTGTGAGTATACTATAGTGGAATAATCCTTCAAACTCGAGTTCTAAGTCTAAAAATAAATTTGCTAAGAAAATATTTTTTTTTTCCTAAAAATAAAAGATTGATAAATTAAAACTTGCTGAAATTTTAAGAAATGATGTGAAAGTAGTTTTGAGGTTAACCTTTAATTAACCTTCAATAACTCAAATTTCTACTATAAAAAAAAAACTCCAATTTCTGGTTGAAAATAATGAAATTTCACCTCTTTATTTTACTTTTATATATGATTTTAACTATCAAATCATATATGTTAGGTAAACGGAGTCAAAACTTATTGCATATCTTGAAATATATATATATATATATATATATATATATATATATATAATAGATCCCTAAATATCGATATACTTTTTTTAATATAGGTCTTTAAACATTAAAAAATATCTAATACATCCTTGAATTTTCTGTTATATGAATTTTTAATTTTATATCAAATAGATCTATTAAATCAAGATTGAATTTTGAGTTTTCCTAACTTTTGAATAGGTGGCTGAATAAGATTGATCCGTACATGGCTCGAATTTGAGACCTCAAGTAGTATCTCAAGGTCCAAAGTGCTTACCACTGTCTCATTCGAAGGACATAGACTTTCAAAGTTTTGATGGATTAGACTATATAAATTTTATTTCGTTTGGCTTATAAAAAATATGCCTAACATTTAATAGTTTGTTTTAATTATTTATTGAATTTAATTCAATACTTTATTTTATAATTTTTGAATTGTATGCAGTTTTTTTTTTCTTTTTTTAGTGCCAATAGACATTCCAAAATCTCACAGGCATTTTTTTTTTCAAAAATAAAAGGCTAAAAGCCACTACTTGTAATATATATATCCTGAATAAAACAAAAAAATTAAGGCCATTTTTTTTATACTCGTTAAAAATTAAAGCCAATCACGTTAATGCATTTGACTTATTTTCTACCAGTTGAAAGTTCAATTCCCAATTTCAAATTTTTTTGTATTGAAAAAACTAAAAGACATAATAGAGTAAGATATTTTGTTGTATCTAAATATAAGGGAGTTGATAAAATATTAATTATTTTTTAAGGTTAACAGTTTAATTAATTAGTGCCACATTTATTTCACTTAAATTTTATAGGTATGGCATCTAAAATAGCATAAATAAGAGTCAGGGGACAACACCTTGCACTAACGTCCATAATTATTGGGAAAATTTCCAATTCAATTTAAAGCATTAGGAATGTAACTCATATATCACTGATATTTAAATAATAATACACACCAATTATTAAGGTAGACTAATATAGTACCATTATAGTACTAAATTTTTTTCTATGCTAAGAATGAATTAAATGGTCAAAGCATATATTAGTAATTAATCACATATAAGTTTAATATTTGAATAATCTCTACCCCTATTATGTGATGAGTCGAGTGTAGGTGTTAGTGTAGGTGCTTGTTAATGAACCAACGTTGCATTAATGTGAGAGGGATTCTAAGATTATGGAAGCATGATAATTAAGCTGGAAAGTTAAAAAAAAAAACTAATAGTTACTTCTTATAACAACAACGTAAATTCATCTTTGGGCAGCTACATGAATCCTAAAGTAAATGTGTTTGAATTTGAACAATTTTGTGTTAGATAAGTTCTTTAAAGAAATTTCGTAGAAAGTAGGTAAATGAATTTTCTTTAGAAAGTAAGTAAATAAAGAACATGATGAAAAGATATATATCATGGTTTGTCGGAACAAAATTATCATTCTCAAGTTAGTGAGTGGCACATATCCTAGTCATAGTGTCGGGTAAGTCAAGTCAATTAAGTCAAGTCAGTAGATGACGCATCTAGGTCGCAAGGTAATGTTGAGTTGTGTGAAATTATTTGTTCAAAGTGTTAATTGACCCATCCTAATGTTGTGATTCTAACAAAAAAAAAAATTTAATTGACCCGCTATCCTAAGTTCTAAAGTAAAAATTGATTTCTTTCATAAAATTTATTTCAAAGCCTAAGTAGTAGGGCATAACCATCAAAAGATAAACCACATTTTAATCTAACAAAAAAATTCAATTAACCAACCAAGATTTGCATCATCCTCTTCACTGAATCAACCCCAAAATTGTGTCAGCGAATTCTTAATGCTCAATTTGTGTGAATCAAAATATCCCTCTCTAATTGATAATGTCTCTCCCAAAACAAGTATTTTTTGCAAAGAAATAAGAACTTTTGAAGAGGTCCGCACTTCCATTATTGTTGTCATCTCTCAATATTCAATTATGCACACATGTATCATCTTTTATAATAAGAGATATTTTTTGAATATGATCTTTTTTACCTATAACATGTGGAGATAGAGATTCGAATTAATTTATAATTTTTAGATCAGAGATACCTTAATCAGTTAAACTATGTTCTAATTTACATCAAATAAGATTATTCGAGTCAAATGATATGGATGAATTTTGTATCTCTCTCCTTTTCAAGGTTGATGTTTACCATATTCCCACATCAGTGGAGTAAAAAAAATTCCACAGAATTTTCTTCACTTTAATGTATGCAATGGACCCACCCAAAGAAAAGTAAACTCTTTGGTCTACAGAAGGCTATCACAAAGATAAGGTTTGGCCAATCAAAACCCAATGCCCTATTTCTCTTTTGAAAACAACCCATCATAAAGAACCCAAAAAAACCTTCAATACTACCTCTCAATTAAATCCCAAAAAGCTTTATTCTCCAAAACAATCTTCCCTTGCTCTAACCCCATTTTCAAAACAGCAACCTTCTAATTCTCATCATCCCTTCTTCTTTTTTCCCAAAAAAAAGCATCTTAATTTGCTTGAACTACAAACAATTGGTATACATTTTGGCATAGTTTAGAGCATTACGTTCTAGATTCTACCAAAGAATATAGCAAAAAAAGCAGCGAAGAAGAAGACTCCTCAACCCAGTTGCTTATAATGGCTGTCAATTGCTCCCAAAAATGCTCTCTTTAGTCCTCTCCCTCTACACGTGACAAAACAAGACAAAAGAATCCAAATCCATGGTCTCTAGTTACTATATATATTTTTTTCTCTCAATTGACTCTCCCTTGTTTTGTAATTCTATGGCCACGGAGATTGCCAAAGATCCGGTTGAGGCTGACCCGACCGTCGTCGGAGAAGGTGGAGAACCGGGTAAAAACCGAGGTTGGAAGAGGCTGCAGCCATGGACGAAGCAACTAACAGTAAGAGGAGTAACAGTGAGTGTCGTTATCGGAAGCGCTTATAGTGTCATAGCCATGAAACTGAACCTCACCACCGGGCTCGTCCCAAACCTCAACGTCTCCGCCGCTCTTCTTGCCTTCGTCTTTGTCCGGACGTGGAACAAGACGCTGCAAAAGGCTGGCATCGTAACCAAGCCCTTCACTCGCCAAGAGAATACCATGATCCAAACTTGTGCTGTCGCATGCTACAGCATCGCGGTTGGGGGTAAATTCTTGTTTCTATTTCTTGTTTCTCATTTATGGTAAATCTCTTTCTCTCCGTAACAATTTCTTAAAATAAAAGTTTCAAAAAGACTAATGAGAGGAGCAGTGCTTCTCTATTATAAACCCTTATTAGTTCATTTATTTTTTCAACGTGAGATCCTTAACATACTCTTCAAGATCGTGACTCTTTTGATTGGATCGCATTTTTGGACCGTATGCTCGTTTGAGCTTTTGTGTTATGATACCTATTAATATTAATGGAGTTTGATCTCAAAATCAATTAACCATGTAAGGTTCCTTTTCTTTTTAACGTGGGATCCTTAATAAAGATCTCTTAGAAAGTTAGTCTCGAAGTTTTTACGTTGTTTTGAGATCGACCCAGATAAGAAAAATGTTGGATTTTTTAAAAAATGCAGGTGGATTTGCTTCGTATCTGCTGGGGATGAACAGAAAGACATATGAATTATCAGGAGTGAACACAGAAGGGAACTCTCCATATAGTGTGAAAGAGCCTGGACTTGGGTGGATGACTGGCTTTCTTTTTGTGGTTTGCTTTGTGGGTCTTTTTGTTTTGATTCCTCTCAGAAAGGTTTCTCTTCTTCTCTACTTCCCCTTTTTTACACAAGCTAATAAATGAAAAGGGGGAAAGTCAGTTCTGCTTTATACTTGAGTTTTTTCAGAGCTTTTCAGAGCTTTTCTTTTTCTTTTGGTGTTTAGTTAAAAGTTGAAGATGAGACACCATCGGATATTAATTATTAAATATGATAGCTTTTGAGGGTTATAGCTTTTCAATCATTTGTTCCAAAGATTTTTTATTGGGTGAGGGAGACTCAAAAAGTTGGAAAGAATACTTAAGCGTTTATCGATCAACATTTATCTTTTTTTTAGTCACCATTGAATATTTTATAAATAGGAGAGAGTAAGGTAGAAAAAGAGATACTTTCTATTTTTCAAAACGGTCAAATTTTTATTTGGAGATTAGTACAAAAATGGATATTGATGAGTAAGCATCTAAATATTGTTATGATGGTAGATACTTCTTGAAAAAGAAATTAACAAGTAGATAATACTGTTAATTTGGATGATGTGACATATATTAAACTCAAATAGGTTGGTAAAGAATTTAAGCATAGTTCAATAGATTAAGACCTTATCTCTGACGAAAGCGTTGTAAGTTCGAATTACTATCCTCACATGTTGTACTAAAAAAAATGGGTTGGTAGGGTTGATATTAGGTGGAGCGAAAAAATTTCCTTATCGGTGATAACAAATATTGTCCTAAAAATTGACAACTCATTATTTTTTTTAAAAAATTCTCTACTTTTGTTTTTCTCTGTCTGATTTGTTGATAGTGGTGAGGTGAAAATGAGTACAAGGAGCCAAATATTTTCCCATTAAAAGTCTATTATCTCTGGTCTGTGTGATACTATGCAATTAATTAAATATCTACAAAATACCTTACATAAATTTAATGGGAAGCATCCAAACAAATTTTTGTCAAGATGAAATATCTAAAAAAAAAGAAAAGAAAAGAAAAAAAGAGTTATGGGTTGTAATCTTGTGGTTGGCACACAGGTTATGATAGTGGACCTGCAATTGACATATCCTAGTGGCATGGCAACAGCAGTTCTGATAAATGGCTTTCACACTCAGGGAGATGAGATGGCAAAGTAGACATTTCTCCAAAATCCCATTTTGATTTCGATTTCTTTATAGTTTATTAATTAGAAATAGCTGATGTATATATATATTTTGAATTTGAATTTGAATTTGAATTTGAATTTGAATTATGACAGGAAGCAAGTTAGAGGGTTTATGAAGTACTTTTCATGGAGCTTTCTGTGGGGTTTTTTCAAGTGGTTCTTTTCTGGGAAAGAGAAGTGTGGGTTCTCTGAATTCCCCACTTTTGGACTCAAAGCTTGGAAGCAAACGTACACATCTTTTTCTCCTTCTTTTTGGTTAAATTATTTTCTATTTTTATCCTAATTAAATCAAAATTTTATTCTTTTGATTTTATAGTATCTGATATTTAGTTAAATCTCTCAAAAATATCTACCATGTGTTAATAATTCTCTTTAAATGTGATAGAGATGTATGTGGAGTTGGCATTTTAAGTTTGTCTTTTCATGTCGAAGATACGAGTGACTATCTGCTTAAGATTTAATATTTTAGTTGTCATGAGTCCAACTACGTGTCCAAGCTAGTCCAGAGAGAAAAAAGAAGTTTTCTCTTATTTGAAAATTAGCGTAATCATCCAATTTAGAGTGAATTTGGGATGCCGGATAGAAAAGTATATTTTAAATAAAAAATTAAATCCCATTTATTATTTGAAAGCATTTAAGTATTTGAAATATATGTTGGATACGATAATAATTTAATGAGGTTGGTGGTTGATTAGTGGAAATGTTGTAACTTTTTGGCAGATTCTTCTTCGATTTTAACACAACTTTTGTGGGAGCAGGGATGATTTGTTCCCACTTAGTGAACTTGTCTTTGCTTCTAGGAGCCGTCCTCTCTTATGGCCTTATGTGGCCTCTTCTTGATCGCCTCAAAGGCCGCTGGTTCCCTGATTCCTTAGAAGAGAGTAATATGAAGAGCTTATATGGATACAAGGTCTTTTCCTGTCATTTTTTAAACGTCATGAAAAAATTTAAATTTATACTAGTCTCCCGGCTTACATCAACTTTAATCTTCAGGTCTTTCTATCCGTTGCTCTCATTCTTGGAGATGGACTTTACAACTTCGTCAAGATTCTTGCATCAACAATCATCAATATACACACTAGAATGAAGAAAGCAAAAACCGGTTATTCTATATCCTATATATATTCTTGTCCTGTACCTGAAAAAGTTAATAAGTTCATCAACTTTCAATTATGTGCTTCAAAAAGTCTTGACACTGCATAATGCTTATAAGTTACACCTATTTGAAATCAATTTGAATATTATAGAATCTTTAAATAATCTTTGTCCGTGTGCCATATAAAGGGTTAAGCAATAGAATTAACAGTAGGCACCAGTTTGATCGTCGGTTTTTCAATGTGTGATTCTTTAACATTTGTTTCATATAGGAATGGACGACAATGAAAAACCAGCTACAGACGAGAGGCAGGACGAAATCTTCCTCCGAGAAACTATTCCCCTGTGGGTGGGAGTGGCTGGCTACCTCCTCTTCGCCACCATCTCCGTAATTGCCATCCCCATAATGTTCCCTCAGCTCAAATGGTACTTCGTCCTCCTCGCGTACTTCCTCGCCCCCTCCCTCGCCTTCTGCAATGCTTATGGTGCTGGCCTCACCGACATCAACATGGCCTACAACTACGGCAAGGTGGCCCTCTTTCTCCTTGCAGCCATTTCCCCCAAACCAGATGCCTTAATTGCTGGGCTTGCAGGCTGCGGCCTCGTCAAATCCGTCGTCTCTGTCGCGTGCATTCTCATGCAGGACTTCAAGACTGCCCACTTGACCTCCACCTCCCCAAGGGCCATGTTTGTCAGCCAGCTGATCGGCACCGCGGTTGGCTGCGTCACAGCGCCGCTCAGCTTCTTCCTCTTCTACAAAGCCTTCGACGTGGGCAACCCGGATGGGGAGTTCAAGGCGCCGTATGCTCTCATTTACCGAAACATGGCGGTTTTGGGAGTGGAAGGTGTGGGGGCGCTGCCGAGGCATTGCTTGCAGATTTGTTATGGGTTTTTTGGGTTTGCGATCGGGGTGAATGTGATGAAGGATTTGGGACCAGCGAAGGTGGGGAAGTGGATGCCGCTGCCGATGGTTATGGCAGTGCCGTTTCTGGTGGGGGGTTATTTTGCGATCGATATGTGTTTGGGGAGTTTGATTGTGTTTGTTTGGGGGAAGCTGGATCGGGCCACGGCGGAGATGATGGTGCCGGCGGTGGCTTCCGGCTTGATTTGTGGGGAGGGGATGTGGACTTTGCCAGCCGCTGTTCTTGCTCTGGCTAAGATTAATCCTCCTATTTGTATGAAGTTTGTGCCATCCTAGGAACAACACCCTTATAACTTTATCAAATCTAGCTTATGCATGTGTGTTGTGTTTTTTTTTGAAGTGATTTTAGAGTCGTGATGTGATCATCATTGTTATTAGTGAGTTTGTAACCAAAAAATCTTTTCTAAAGTTATATATGGATACATGTATCAGTCGACTCACTTAATCTATTGTCGATCAATGTCAAACATTCAAATTTTATGGAAATATCAATGTAGTATTTACTAGAGAGATAATAATCTCTACCCATCTTAAGTTTAAAACGTAGATATAGATGAAAATGTCAATGATTCAACTTTATAAACATGTTGATGAAAATATGATCAAATATCATCTGGAAAAATCATTAAAATTAAGAAAAATCATAAAAAATTATTAGAAGGATTTAACACTTTTTAAATAAGTTGAAAATTGTTATTATTACTATTATGTTTACATGACATTTTATTTATTTTCATTCATATTTTGTTAATTTTTTATATACCTTCCAAAGAGACGTTTGCTTTAGAATCCAAGTTATTAGATTAAAATCTTAATTCTCATTGTTGATGGATGAGGGTACAACACGATTTCATATTTTACTGTCCAGAGAAGGGAACATGACATTACAAAATAATCTTGTAAGTCTATTCAAAAATCGCTCTAAGGCAAATGGCAACCCACAAAGGAAAATACTTGGCAGTCCTTAACAATGAGGACCAAATCTTATTCTTACCAACTAACCACTATTGAAATTTTGACAATTCATTATTTTTTTAAAAACATCAATATTTTCGCATTTATGCGTCCACCTTCAGTCCCTTCGAGTTAGTTAGCCATGAGGCAACAGCCTTTGACTCCCCTTTCTTTTGGGTATGCAGGTACTAAGAGTTTGGTGGGGTGATCTTGCAGATATCAACAACAAGAAAAAAAAAAAACAAATGGAAACAGCAACAACTATGACTCTTGGCCAGATAACGTCCTAGGCATAGGGAAGATCAAAACAACATGAAACGCCTAGACCTCTCTTAATTGTCAGACATTTAATGGCAGTGAGAACAAAGTTATTCTTTACCATGGAGGAATGAAGTATTTTTCAAGCCACAATGATCATTGCCTTTACCACGGAGGAATGAAGTATTTTTCAAGCCACAATGATCATTGACTCCAAGTGGAGATTGAGAGACATCACTCTAAGGCTAACCAACCATTTATTATTTTTAATTGGATACGTTTGGTTGGATTAAAAGCTCATTTCATAAGTATAATTTCTCAGTCTCGTTATATAAATAAAAAAATGTTTACAAAATTTTATCACAATGAGAGAGTAAACCAAATSTTATAGATAAATTGAGAGCACTCAATCCAATAATTAGGGAAGAGTCTAACTGTGGGTCGCATTGAGCTACTAACACTGCAAGAATTATGAGTTTTTTCGATACTTTTTTTCTCGATATTAGTAAAGTATACATCTTTACAAACATCTTTTTCCCGACTAAATTAAATAATAATGGTCGGAACTTTGACCAACGGTTGCCTAAAATAATCGGAAAAAGTATACATCTCCCAACTAGATTTTAAAACCGTTAGACTATTATTGTTCTTTTTCATATATACATCTCCTGGCTATGTTTAAAAACTGTCAGGCTATTATTGTTATTTTTCATACTTTTTCAAATAATATAATTCCCGACTATTTTTAAGAATAGTTGGGTGAAATTACTCTTACTGACACTTTTGCATAACGGTCGAATAAATTGACTTTACCAACTATTTTAAAAAATATTTAGTAGAGTTCACTTATCTATCAAATACGATTAAATAGATTAATAAAAATTCTACAATCATGATCATAATATTGCTCTTGCTACTAATTAGAGATACTGCCATAAATTTTATCATAAAAGGACGAGAAGTATTACCTTTCTACAACCAAACTAACCCCATCCAATTAATTAAGCACCCTACAAGTGTTCGACGACAAATTCAACAAAGAGAAAATTCGAATTGATGAACTTGTGTTGTATTTATGTATGTGTGATAGCACACTTTGTGAGCTACATTTCATGAGATTTATATAGAAGTTATTTGTTAGTTATGTTTCTTCATGACAAATTTAAGCACATAAGATATATTTTGTAGGAATGAAGTATCAGAAGAAAACGAGACTTATTTGGATCAAAATGAGAGAAAAATCGGAATCAAAGTGACCAAGATGGAATAACAACAAGATTTGAAGCCAAAAACCCGAGAAGATAGCGCCCCGGCGCTGGCCCAAAAACTTGTAGTAGAAATTGCTTATCGCAATTGTACGGGTCAAGCTTTAATAAAGTGGTAAGTCAATACCGATATCGTCCTCTGGATTGGGTTTCTAGATCACTCAAGCACCATATATACAATTACTCAAAAGGTCCTAAGGAATTGATTTCACCTGTTGAATCTATGAACCAACTACTTAATTACTCAAAATTGAACGAGTTATTAATTCTATAGGCCGAGAACTCTCAAACCTCAACTATCTCTCCAGCGCAAGCAAATTCTCCTTACCAATTAAGAAACGAATATCCCTATCTAGTTTCTATAATAAGTAAAAGCTTTAATGAACAAGTCTTTTAACGACCTCTAAAGAACTTCTAAATCTCCTGATCTTAAAACCCCTTTAGTTATGCATCCCAATTCTAACTCTAAACCAGCAAAAGATTTCAAGTCTAAAATCAATCAATCTATGGCCAGTCGATTCAAGATATTAAGCATAGAGAAGCATAAGTAGAACATTCATAAACATTCAATCAAGAAAACTAAACAATCAATGCATAAAGTTCAATGGCTACATCAATCTCTAAGATAAGAGGTTTAGCTTCTAATATTCAATGGAAAACAATAAAATCACAATGAAAACTCCATAACAAAACTAGAAAAACCAAGGGAAAGGAGAAGAAACTATGTTCCACGTGTCAATCGTCCGTTCCCGAAGCGACTTCCATGATCCCGAGCCTTGAAAATCACTTTTCTAAGCTCTCCAATGGTCTCATTGCCCTCCAAATTGGCCAAAAAAGCAAACTGTCAAAAAACCTCTCCCAAACTCCTCCATCTCGACGGTTGCACAACCCTATTTTTATAAAAAGTTGTCGCAGCAGCGCCATGGCGCTACACACAGGGTCATGACTCTACACTATTCACAAAACACGAAATTTAAACTTTGGAGCGCCGCAGCGCTCTAGGCCAGCGCCGTGGCGCTATCTTCTCGAGTTTTTGGCTTCAAATCTTGTTGTTATTCCATCTTGGTCACTTTGATTCTGATTTTTTTCTCATTTTGATCCAAATAAGTCTCGTTTTCTCCCGATACTTTATTCCTGCAAAATATATCTTAGGTAAATTTGTCATGAAGAAACAAAAACTAACAAATAATTTCAATGTAAATTTCATGAAATGTAGCTCACAAAGTATGCTATCAATGTAGGTGTTATAACCTCTAATGTATAATCCTCTGATTAATTCTCTCACACGTAAACTTTAATTCAAGGGCTCGTGAGCTTGTTCTTGAATGGTTGATGCCTTCAGCTTCTTTGCTTGACGAAGGATCTGTGAAGTCTTCGGTTTTGAGCTTGTTTAAAGACTTTGACTTGTTTATGAAGTTTTTGGCTTGTAGCTTGATGAAGACTTTGTGAAGTCTTTGACTTTGCGCTGGTGAAGTTCTTCGATTTTGCGCTGGTGAAGTTTTTCAGCTTTGCAGTTTGTGAAGTTTTTCGGCTTGTAGCTTGTGAAGTTCTTCAGCTTTGCAGCTTGTGAAGTTCTTCGGTCGGTCGTTTGGCGAAGAGAAGATTCAGAATTTTTAAAGTCTCGTAGTCTTCAAGTCTTCAGTTCTTCGAGTCTTGTTACTTCTGGATGCTTGACACTCTAAACGGTTATAGATGACTCTGAATGTCCCTAATGCTCTGAATCTCCAATACTTCTATATCTTTTTCTCTATCCCCAAATGAGAGGTGACCTCCTCTATTTATATTGTCTTGCTGGGTCTTGTTGGGTCATGGGCTTGGGCCTAGTCTCTTTTATAGGTTTTGATTCAACTAGTTGATTTTATCGGACGACCATGAAAGAGACGCATCCCACAATTTGATTTGCCGATTTAAAAATTAATTTAGGACACATGTAATTTTATGACTGGTMTTAAATATAATTTTAAATTTGTGACGTGACATTTAATTATTAGTCGAAATTTCTCATTCAACAACAAGGTAGGGCGCGAGAAAATTTTTCGTCATGACTTAAACGGGGGTAGGGATGGGGAATAATGTTCCCCATCTTTGTCCTTGCCTCGATTCCCCATTTTTATGCATGGTTTTATTTTATTTTATTTATTATTATTATTATATATTTTGTAGAAAAATTTAAACTCACCATATCTCATAATCAGATATCCGATATTGATGTAACATAAGATGTCTTAAACTATACTCAATTTTAGCCTCTCTTCTCTCTTCATCCCCAGTCAATATCATCAAAGAAAGTAAAATAACCCTTTTTAATACTCTAGTCATTTGTTTAATTAGGTGAACATTTCCACCTAAAAACAAAACTTCAAAGCTCCCACACTTTTGTTTTGTCGTTCAACAACTCATGAGGAAACCCCCCATTCAGCTCATCCTCCCCCCACCCACCTCACTAAGTCACAAACATATAAATATACATACATATAAAACCTAAACCCACAAATCCAAATCAAAGAGAAGAAAGAAAAATCAGTCCCCTGGCGAGAGTTTGATCAATGGCGACAGTGAGACCCCGAGAAGACGAGCGAGCGGGGGCGGAGATCGCGTTCGGACACGAAGAGTGCTACCGGAGGTCGGTGGAGCTTCTGAAGGAGCTGGGGTTCCCGACGGGAGTGATGCCGTTGAAGGAGCTGGAGGAGTGCGGGATCGTGAAGGAGACGGGGTTCATTTGGATGAGGCAGAAGAGCCCCTACGAGCATTTCTTCGAGGGGACAAACTCGCGGGTCGTGTACGCGACTGAGGTCACTGCGTACGTGGAGAAGTTCAGGATGAAGAAGATGACCGGCGTTAAGACCAAGCAGCTTCTTCTGTGGGTTCCCATCGCCGAGATGAGCATCGACGATCCAAAGAGGAACAAGATTTGTTTTAAAACTCCCGTGGGGATCGGGAAATCGTATCCGGTGACCGCGTTTATGTCTGAGGAAGAGAAGCATAAGTATTTGGAGACGGCTGATGAATATTGAATTGACAATATAATATTATTCATCTTCTACGATGACATTGTTTTCAACTGCTTTCTTTTCTTTTCTTTTTTCTTTTGTTATTAATTATTGTTAAGTGTTGTTTCCTTTAATTTTCTGGAAGAGATTTATTATACCTTGTTGTTTTGATTCTTTTTGTTATCAGAATTAATAATTATGTTTGATGGATTATTCTTATTATATAAACGGGGTAAGAAACGAAACGAATCAACCCAATCCGAGTCAGGTGCTTACACTCTTATTTTGCAGCACGAGAGAAATGCAGAAAATGAGATTTTTCTTTTCAAAAAATTAAAAATGTGTGTCAAAAATTTTTTGGTGGTCATCACGAAAATATGGTAGTTAACTAAGTATTGTTCTAAACTAAATCCAATTTTAATCTTCTTATATTTCAAATTAGCATAATCCCAAATCACAAACTCTTTGTTAAAAAAAAATTCAAATTCAAATTCAACATAAAACATTCCTTTGTTAATAAATGTAAACATATGCCTTAAATGACCATTCATTTATTAGGAAATAATCGATTGAAAAAAAGAAACATGATCGATGTAATAAGAGAAAATTAATGGAGAGTATTTTGAAGACAAAAAAAATCATATTTTAATGTTGGAAATAAAAAAGTGTAAATAATAACAAAGATAAACCTTTGTGAAATATTGATAATATATTGTTGTACTTTTCGTCCTATATAACCATAAATAAACCACCGTTCAATAAAAGTCACGTGTCAATAAGGTAAAAGACATGAATATATCCTTACTCTAACCAAGTAGCTAGGTAAAATTGAAAAGAAATAAAATAGCACAATGAAAAATTTCATAAAACCTAGAAAACTAAAACTAATAGTGTGGATCAAAACTATGTTGCCAATCTTGTGGTCCGAGATAATTCATATCAACTTGATTTTCTAGAATGATCACCACGAGTTAAATATGATAGTTGCCCAAGACGTTTTGAACTATAGTTATCACTAATATGTGTATGAAAATTATTTAAGTTGTACTATATAGTTAGAAAATGACACAAGTTAGGACGATATGGGTCCTCGTACTTCCCACGTGATCGAAGGATAGAAAACCTAGACAATGGCCTACCCCAAAATAAGATACTTCTTTTTTTGTGTGTCATTCATCGTTTTAACTTTCACGGCAAGTTCATGAGTAAAAACATTCTTTTTTKTAGATTTCTTTTTATCTATTAAGTATCTTTTAAAAATTAGATTTATTATATTCAAAATTGAAAGGTTATTATTCTATTCGAATTCGTGAAATTTAAAAATTGCCCAATAAATTAGAGACAACACATTATATATAATAATGGTTAATGATAAATACTTGGATGAATGTGTAGATAAGGTATAAAATTTTCCACTTAAATTCATAAAATTTATTTGATTTGAATCTAAAGGAATAAATTTTTTTTGAAAAAACTTTGATTTTATATTGAAATAACAATTTAGTCTCTAAACTTTTATACGCAATAATTTAAGGTCTCTTCCTATGCAATTTAGATTTGTTGTTCTTGTTTTCAGATTAATTGAATTAAATGGATTTAGTAAATATTTAGATTTTTTAAATGTGTTTTTGTATTTTGTGATCCAACCGTGGAAATTCTAAAAACAACATGTTTTCAGTGTTTTAGATTATGAATTTTGAAACTTTAAAATGAAAAATTATATTAAGAAAGCTAAAAACTTTGATGAAATCAAATGTATTTCATCATGTTATAAACTCACATTTCATTTTTGTTAAAACTAAAAAAGAATGTAAAATGTAATAGGTTATAAAATATATAATACTGTAAAATAATAATCTTACAAAATTTATAACATATATGTTAATAAATTCGCTAATATTATTTTTAGATTTAACTAATATTAGTTGGTAACTATCACTAGTTTACAAATATACAAATTTGCTACCAAACACGTATTGCTACTAAACTCAATAGAAATTAAAGATTCGATGTTCGCCTATGAACTACAATTTAAGGGTGTGCAGGGAGGGGATTCGAACGCAAGACCCTCCGCTTTGATACCATATTAATGATGAATAAACCACCACACAATCTAAAAGTTCATTTATTTGGATATCTAACATGAAAAAAGAAAACAACTAAACCATTAATTTGATCTAAAATTACCATGGCAATGAGATTGGAGGTTTCTAAACTTGGAATTAAAGTTGTAAATATGTGCACGGTATTTGAAAGGTTAGAAATTGACCTACCATTTTAAATCAATCATAAAAAGATATGACACGTAGGACCCGAAAATTTCAAAATTTTGTATCATTATATCTTAAAATAAATCAATATTAAAATTGATGGGTTAAACAATGAGACTGTGGGAGGTCCATGAAATATCTACGAAAAGAAAATACAGCAGTAGCGTGGTCCACTGCAACACCTTATATTTGGGAAACTGTGTCCGAAATTTTCGAATGGGATTTTTACCCAGAAATCAAAATCCATCCATCTCCGTCTCGATCTCGATCTCGCCAATCCAATTCCAGCGGCGACATCTGTTACCGTTACCGGAGCTTATCCGCCTTCTCGGCGGGACCCTCCGATCAATCTTCCTCCACCAATGGCGACGCCCTTCTTGGGCTCCACGTCTCCCTTTTCCTCACCACTAATCACTTCACGCTTCTCTTCCTTCACTCCTTTAATTACCACAAGCAGAACCGCCCACCGACGCTTCCCCCTTCTTCTCTCGCGTCTCACCACTACCACCGCCGCCGTCGGAATGGTGGAGAACTGCGATCAGCCTCATCCCTCGCTGGAAGTTCTCGGCGGAGGCCGGGACCGCTTCCTCCCGGCCATCAACAACTTGGACCGCCCCTATAAGCCCTACTCTGTAATCGGGTCGAATCGCCATTTGGAGACGATTTTTGCCGCCTTCTTTAGGTCCTGCCCCAATGTGAGGCTCCGCCGGGAGTGCCTGCGGATGCCGGACAATGGCACCGTTGCTCTGGACTGGGTCGCCGGTGATGATCTCCGCCAGCCACCGGATTCTCCCGTTCTCATTCTCCTGGTTTGTGGGGTTTTCTTCGTTTTTCTTTTCTCTTTCTTGGGACTTGCTGCAATACAATTATTGAAGGAGCATTTATGAGTATAGATGGATTTGGATATGATATCAAATATGTTCTCTGCTACCTAATGATGTGAACTATCTACTTAATTGGAATGGATTAGGAGTTCTTTAGTTATGTGAATCCCTAGTTCACAAACACTAGAGCAATCACTTAATTTACTTTAAGAGATTAAGAACAAGTTACTTGAATTCCAACATTCTATAAATAAGAGATGGATCATTCTTGACATTAGCTCAATGCATGAATTGTAAAAGAATGCTTGAACATTGAACTTGAAATTGTAGTTTAATACTTCAATGGGGTTGATCCATATCTAACAGATTTCACATTGGGTTCTTGAATCTTTGCAGCCTGGTCTGACAGGAGGAAGTCAGGATTCATATGTGAGGCACATGTTGCTTAGAGCCAAATATCGTGGCTGGAGGGTCGTGGTCTTCAACAGCCGTGGATGTGGGAATAGCCCTGTTACCACTCCCCAGGTATTCATTTTTTTCTTGTTGGAGTATAGAAATGCTTTGTATCTAAGATGATCTTTTTTCCATTTTTTTCTAATATTAAGAGTCGATATTTTTGTTTATGATTCGTTTTACAACACTGATATATATGCAGTTCTATTCGGCTTCATTTTTAGGAGATATGCGTGAAGTAGTTGCACACGTTACTAAACGATACAACAAGGCTAACGTGTATGCCGTTGGCTGGTCTCTTGGTGGAAACATTCTCGTTAATTATTTGGGACAGGTAAAAAAATAGTACATATTAATCTCCATCATTCTCCTAACTCTATTTATTGGTTGCCATTTCTTTTTTGAACTCCCTAAAATCTCATGGAATGAGGGAAACTGGGTCTTGAAACTGTGAGAAAAAGCCCGTTAGGACAGTGGTTATTGGGATGAGGATGTAGTCCCATATTAGTTAGAAGTGAGAAGATCCAAAACGTACAAGGACGATAGCTCTGTATGAAGTCTTTTAGGTGGAAATAAACAACAAAACTCTGTGAATTTGAGCTCAAAGTAAGACAATATTAGGCCTCATGTCTACAAATGTGAACAACTTGGTCACTTGTGGAACTGTGCCTACTTCTCCCCCATCTTTTTGGTCTTAAAAAATGAAAATTTCAATAATGAAATCGCTGCATTTCAAAATATGTTATAACTTATAATACAACTTGAAACAAACTCAGCATTCTTCTGAAAGTTACAATATTGTCAAAAAACGTAATTGGCGATAATCCCAAGTGGAATGGGGAGGGGTTGGCGATCCTAGGACCTCCCAATACAACCAGGGAGAAGAACAAAATCCCTTTATACAATAGCTTGAGTTGCTTTTCCATATCATATGCATTCCTATGTCCAGTTCTTTGTCTCTTACGTATCATTCATACTTGTCTCATTGCAGGATTCTCTTTCCTGTCCACTGTCCGGTGCTGTATCTTTGTGTAATCCCTTTGATTTAGTAGTTGCAGATGAGGACTTCCGGAAGGGCTTCAACAAAGTTTATGACAATTCTCTCGCCCGAGCTTTATGTCGAATTTTCAACAAGTAATCCTCCGTTGTCTGAACGTTTTTTGTTACCATGTATCTGATACCGAAAAATCCACGGAGCTTAGTTTAGATTGTATCACCTCACCAGATTCCCCTGAGTTTGCTCTTGCAGGCATGCTGATCTGTTCAGTGATATGCCTGGTGAATTCAATATTCCCTTGGCTGCCAATGCTAGAACTGTTAGAGACTATGATGACGCCTTAACTCGCGGTATTCTTTCCCTTTAATTTTCGGTAGTGTTGTTGGTTGTTGTCGATCTACGCCATTTCTTCTGCTTAGAATTTTTTTCCTTTCTTTTTACTTGAATAACCTGCAGTTTCATTTGGTTTCAACTCTGTGGATGAATACTACTCCAAGTCTAGCAGTTCAAAATTCATAAAAGATGTCAAAATTCCTCTGCTTTGCATCCAGGTACTTTTCTATTTTTTAATTGTTGTTGTCTTGTCACATTTTTGTTTTAGAACTCAAGAATGCTGTTAAACTCTGTATTTAGAGCAAGATAAGAAACATGTTCATTCAAATGTAAGAGAGAGAAGATGCTTAAGGGAGAAGTTCTTTGCTTTTCTTTAAACCTTCACTAAACTCACTAAAAATGCAACACAAGTTTTCAACAAGAATAAAATTTACTATTTTGAAAACAGTTTCCAAACAACTCTTAAACCATCTTTTTCCATTAATTTAGTTCAACTTAAAGCAGTTGTGAACAAGGTCTTGTTAATTAGCAAAAGGATGAATTCTTCACATAAATAAACACTCATTTGTTAATTATTTGGCAAATATTATAGATTTTACAAGCCACTCAGTTTAACTTACAGAATATCTAGGCAAATTTTAGTTCGGAACATTGTTCTCCCACACAGATATTTCTGGGCCATTTTGTACAATGCTGTTTTTAATGTTTTGAGGAACAAGATTTGTTGCCTAAAGGTGACATGTATTGCTTTGCAGGCAGCAAATGATCCAATTGCTCCAGACAGGGCTATCCCCCGTGAAGATATAAAGGTTCGAACGTGCTTATCCTTTAGCTCCAAAGTATATATTAGAAAGATTAAATATACCATAATCTGTTATTTGTAAAATTTTGAAATGAATTTAGTAGTAGTTTAATGTGTATATTTTCAAATGTTATTGTCGTGGCAGGAAAACCCGAACTGTTTGTTAATAGTGACACCTAAAGGTGGCCATCTAGGGTGGGTTGCAGGCCCCGAGGCTCCCTTTGGAGCTCCGTGGCCCGATCCTTTTGTGATTGATTTCCTCGTGCATTTGGAAAGGCAAGCATCCAAGGCTCCTGCATCTTCTTCTGGTTTTACAGTGGCAGAGTCATTGGCATAGCGATTGATGGTGACATCTATGAGCACGATAGAAGAATAGCAAATTGAGCTATCGACGAAACGGTTTAAACATAATGCCATTTGCTTTTTTCCATGTCTAGATTTATACAAAACTGTAGAATGTATGTTGATCTGAATAGTAGTTATGGTCCTCCAATGAGAAGTGAGATTAAATATTCAGTTACTCCTTAAAATGTCTTTGTTTCTTGTTCTCCAAATTAAATTAAAAAGTTAGCTTATAAACTAACAAACAAAATTAACAAGTCACACAAAATTCAATTAACTAAAAGTATTCAGTACAATTGGAACGTGTTGTAGAACTATAAGTGGGTTCATAACTAGGAGTAGAAACTTGACTAAAATAATGAAGATTAAAATTTTCATGATGGCCAGACGGATCATGGTATTAAACTTTGAGCGACAATTAATGTCGCTCGACATCTCGTAGGGTCCAACATATCTACAAGGAAAAAAGTTGAGTTTACTCCTAAGTCAACGACATGTCGTAAATCTTTTTAAAATCAAATCTCTCTCGTATAGATGTTCTGAAAACAATAAATAGAATTCAGACTTAAAATTTGGTTTTCATTTGCGTGTTTTTCTTTCCTTCTTCCTCCACCTCCCGATCTTCTTTAAAGGATTCTTCGATGGTTTGAGCACATAAATTTTGATTATAATCCTGTTGAAGAATCCTAAATGGCAGGAGGAGGGAGTGTCCAAAAGTTAACCACTAATAGTACCCAACTATGTCTCCAGAGGCTTGGGACTTCAAAGAATATCCTTGAAGTCTTGGGTTCAAGTCACATGGAACACAACTCTACTAAACAATGACCCCTTACATACATATGGATATGGAGAGATTTTGGCAGGACCAAAATAACTTTGGTTATTGTCAAAATCACTTCCCTTTCCATTGATCATGTTATCACTTGGATGATAATTTTGGAAATTCAATTTTATTTAAATCTCTTTTTTCAAAATCACTAATTCTACCGTCACTTCCAAACACCCTAAATAGTAGTCAATGAGTTGCTAAAATATATAACATTGTCGAGAAGATGATGAGACATGACTCTTTTTGTTTGAAAATTTAAAAGATATACTCTTTATTTTTTTTCCAACATTATGATTACTCTAGATACGGTGCTGCTTATAATTACTGAAGTGAAGCCATTAATTATTTGGTAGTGTTGAAGGAATGATTGTTTAGATTCCTTATCTTTATCCAACACAGTTTCTGTTCAAGCGCAAAATTTTATTTTACTTTCAACTTATGCTACTTATGCTGCTAGTGTTGTACTACTTTTTTCCCCTTTCGCACATGCTTGTTACTTTTTTTTTAATGGTTTTACAAGATAAAATTTGCTCTAATTATTGAAAAGCAAAGGTCAAACACTCTCTAGCCTTCATGTTAAATCCATGGTTCAAAACATATGGCTTAATTTTTCAGTAGAAGTATTGCACTAGCTCACTGATGTGCTTAAATGTATGAAAGTGGGTGCGAGCGATCAGGAACAAGCTTCTTCAAGGTACCTGTAGGGACAGATAAGTCACTTTGATGCTCAAATTAGTACAGTATTTGAGCTTAGATAGATCCGCTTCAGACAGATTTGCATACTTGAATCAGTAGGATGGTGGTGTATTTATAACCATCAAAAAGGGTAGCTATCTGTCCCATTAGGATATTTTCTTACTCAGTTGGGCAACAAGCCAAGGACCACCGTTCCATGTGGGTGTCCTTGAACCCTTCCTTGTCCCAAGGCATACGCATAGGATGCTCTCGTATGTGTCGAAGTACTGGATCCCGACCTATCAGGTCGGCCCTTGGCCTTCTCCCATGGCTGGCTTTGAGTAGTTTGCCCTCAGACATTTTAGCTCTTCATTAGTTGAGTATTGTGTGTTAGTGATCTCTTGTTTCTGAAAATTCGTTTGTGTACCATTTTATCCGGAGACAATCTAAATGTTGCATTTAGATATTTGGTAGATCAACTTCAGACATTTTTTTTGCTTTTAAATAGAGTAGTCTTATTAGTCCTGAAGTTTAGAATGTTTAGAACATATTGCACATTTTTTTAGTTTCTAATTTAATGGAGGATTGGTGAGCAGTGAGAGATAAAAGCTTGTCAAGTTTAGAAACTTAAATTATTGAGAGGAAATGTGTTCAAACTCGATTAATGACCACTTACCTTATGAATTAATTCTTATGTATTTTTCGGTCCCATAGTTTCGAACACACGAATTTTTAGTATTAAGCTCATGTAAAGATTCGGGCACCCGTCATCAAAATGTTAAAAAAAGCAATTAATTCCAAGTCATAAAAAGAAAAAAGGTATTACATCTCCAACATTTTCTCTCTCTATCATGTTCCAAGCCAACATGGGACGTAACAAAAAACTACTAAATCATGATATTAGAAAATGTTTCTTAACTAACCCCAACTATAATTTAATTAAATAAATTTTATAAATTAATTAACACGTCTTTATTATGTTCATATTATGTCGTGTCCATACTATCTCTAACATCGTGTAAGCTAATCCTTATCCTTATATCTTCCAAAATAGGAACAAACCTAAGATGCTTCCCTGCAGAGGATTTCTAATATATATATATATTTTCATTTGAACTTTCCATGTTGATTTCGTGCATTCATTATTTAAATTGAGGTTTTCTAATTTCTTAAAGAAATATTTGGAGTTGGGGTAACATCAAAAATTAAAATTAATCTCTCTCAAATAATTAATTAGTAGAGGAAATTTCCTTCACATTGATATTCCAACGAACATGTGAAAGATATCTCAAAAAAAAAAAAAAAAAACACGTGAAATAATGGCAATAAATTGATTTTATCTATTTGATGTTGACTTCAGTAGAATTATAAATGAGTTTTTCCTTGGTAAAAATTCAGAATGAGTAATATTATATATAATATATAAGGTCGAGAGAGGACAAATGTTCCTACCCCGATGCAATTAACCAATTTGAGTCGTATTAATTTGGAAGAAAATAAGAATATTGAGTTTGTGTATTATTATTATTATTATTATTATTATTATTATTATTGAGAGTTCATGGTTTGTAAAAGTTTTTTTAGTACCATAAATGTGGGGTTGTAAATCAAACTTTCGACCTAGTTAAAAGATAGATATATATCTCATCGAATTGATATAATTTGTAAAAGTTAAAGGTAGAGTTTAAAAGGTAAATTTGATCCATTTCTAAAAAAAAAAAAAAGGGTAAATTTGATCCTATGCCATTAATTTATTTAAAATCACCTTATTATAAACTTAATAATTAATTTAGGATAAGCAAGCTCACCAAAAAAAAATGTTCACTTATTTTTTTAAAACACAAATTTAGTTTCTTAACATTGACTTTGTAGTTTAGTAATTCAATATTGTTTAAACTCCGTGATTCGTTTGTACTCCACAATAGTATGATATTGTCCGCTTTAAACGTAGTCTTCACGGTTTTGCTTTTGGTTTCACCCAAAAGGCCTCATACCAATGAAGATAATTATTCTTTGTTATATACCCATGATCATTCCCTTCCTTAGTCAATGTAGGACTTTGTTTGCAATCACCTTATAAATCCAAAATATACGATAGTGTTTCTTTTAAATTATTTCTAGCAAGCATTGTTTTTGTATGTTGTTTCAAACTTTACTTCTCTAATAATAATAAAAATAGCAACTATTCTTTCCATCCATGTTCTTATTCTTTCTCTCATATTCTAAGGGTTCCTTTCCTTTTCTTTTTCTTTTTTGAACAAGACATTTTTGTAGGTTTGAACGAGTGCTAACTCTTTCAAATTCGAAAAAAAATTGGAAAAAGAAAAAATAAGGATAAAGTTCAAGTCGATTCGAATCATTGTCAATAAATTTCCATTGGTCTTAAAGAAAATGAATTCCATGTTAGTTTTCAACAAGTTTACTTTTCAAAAATCCATTATGATGTAATTCTTTTATCCTAGTCCTCCTATGAAAACTTAACTTGTTTTTAACACAGTAGTAAGTTTTTAAAGGCATGTTTCCATTCTTCTTTTGAATTGAGTTTCTAAATTAAAATCTTGATTTGGCCAATTCAAGGATAATTAATTTACTTGATTCTGAAAAGGTTAGTAATTTAATATTTAAAATTTGAACAAATAACTAGCGAAGAATCCAAACCTAGACATATAGGGTCTTTTCTTTTGTTACTGTTGGAAATAATAAAATTAAAGTTATAGTTATTAATAAAAATATTGATAATTAACTTAAAACTTTAAGATCCCTTTGATGTAAGTTAATTAGGGAGCATAATCGATATTTCTTATATAAGCATGCCAGAAACACACTTAGTACTGCCTATTATTATTTTTCTTGTTAAGTTATAGTAGGTAAGTTGGATCTTTAATCTTTAAATCTAAAAAATTATTTCAACTGTTACCATCATAAATCAATTGCTCACCCATTTTTTTACGGTTGATTTTAAAAAGAAAACTTTGAATTCCATTAGGACGAGGTTGTGCTTGCACTATTCTGTTGAAGACCAACACTAATGTTTTAAAAACTTTGAATTTTTTATTAGATTGATGATGTGTCACTTAAAAATTTTTTAAAAATAAAAACAAAAATTTCTCAACACTAAAGTAACCTATAAACAAAAACTCAAGACTAAATAAGTAATTTTTTCTAGAATTTAAATTCTATAATATGGAAATTTTAGTAAACTTTTGACTTTATAATTATTACAATTTTAATAATTGTACATTCTTCTGAATGAAAAATATACATGAAGGAAAACAAAGTGATTGACTCTGAAACAAGTCAGTTGAATGGATTTAATAATTTGCTAATCAATACAATGAATTTGGCCTAATAATAGTAGATCTAGTATAGAAATTAATATATCTACTTGGGATATTCTAAGGATTGGCACCCACCAAACTCAAGTGAATAGGAAAAAAAAGAAAAAGAAAATAAATTTTAGCATAATAATAATAATAATAGCCCAAGAATATTAATTCCACATGCCAACATTAGACCAAAACTGTGAAACCTTAAAATACCTGCATTTGATATATTTTTTTACAAGACATTTTAGCTCTGTGGTGCGTCCTATCATGATATTATAAATTTCTGACATATGGGTCACATGGTACTCTGATAAAATAAATGGTATGTAATAAGTTATAAACGATTAGTTCATCGTAATGTATATTGACATATATTTTCATTTGGATTCCTATAGTTATTTTTAAACTTTCAATTTTCTATTCATATATCAATCTATTTTAGTTAAATTAAACTTTTTAAGTTGAAAAAACATCGAAATTATTATGGTGTGAACAAGAAAATTAAAAAGTGAGATTGATTTTGTACTGAAATAAGAAAAAAGGTTAATTTATCTTTGGACCTTCCCTCTTCAAACTAGCACTTGGAATTATGCTATTAATTTTTATTATTTCAGGTGGGTGCATTTCACATGGGTCGAATCATTCATCTGTTTTTTTTTTTTTAATTACCAAGAAATCATTATTCGTGGAGGTTGCGTGCGCGTGGCTTGAACCCAAGACCACCCATCCAAACTATTCTTTGAGGCCAATTATTCATATAGTATTTCATGTAGGTGTTCTTTTTTTTTTTAATATAACACGTGAGGGTGAGAATTGAACTCACAACCTCTTAATTGAAGATATATGACAATTACCGGTAAGCTATGCTCATTTTGGCCATGTAGGTACATTTTTACATCATTGTTGGACAAGTACATATGAATATGCCTAGTAGTGAACTGATATTTGAAAATTAATTTTTTAGTCCAATAAATTTTGTGGTGAAGGATCAGACGTTGACTTCAAAAATAGTAATAGATAGTTTATCTTCTAAAATAGACTCAAATTGATGTTCTATTTTTTTTCTTTTTGAAAAAATAAGAGATAATTTATTAAGAAGTATGCGAAGAACATACGGAAAAAGGAGGTTATATAAAAGCACTCCAATTAAATGATATGGCAGAAATATCGTAATTTAAAGGAGAGGTCTTGGAGGACCAATTAGATACTGAAACTTTGATATCCTCCCAAAGATGAGTGAATGACGAATCACGATTAGTAATATTCGGTTGTTTCGCTCCAACCGGATGTACTATAAAAATAGATTGATTTTCTTTAGAAAAGTTTGGACATGGAGAGTGATTTTGACATAGAATCACACTTCCAAAAATGTCGAAATCACTCCGATTTTAAGCCGGACACGTTTGGCAATGATATTCTTAAGGTGATTTTGGAAAAAAAAAAATTCACTTTAATTTTTTTATCTTTAATTTTGTCTGTTCTCCCTCATTTTTTATCCCTAAAATTTTTTAATCTCTCCCTAAATTTTTAGCATCTAAGTTTATTTCTCTCTTTAAAATTTTGTTTCACTCTTTAAAATTTTTCCCTCTAAGATTCTTGTTTGTCTCTAACTTTTTTCTCTCTCTACCACTTTTGGCAAGTTCTCTCTTTAAACTTAAAATATCAATCATTTTAAATTACTTTTAATTATATAAAAACCATTTGAGAGAGTATGTAACTCTATCCAAAAATCAATTTCACAAAATCAATTATCATTAATCTCTTTTACCAAAATCACTTTATTCTAAAATTATTCCTTTTTGGTGCAACAACATTCAATCTCGACAGCAGGTCGAGATGACCAATTGAGTGAGTTATAGAATCGGAGCAAGCTAGAAGATCTTGCACTGAAAATACATGCACAAAAGAGTCAAAACACTCAAATGCTCAAGTCAGTAAGGAGCTCGACCAAAGTATTAAGACTGAGATAGAATCAGATCCCTAGTTGTAAAGCGAGATCCCCTATTTATAGGTTTGGACGTCCGACAGCATATTCGATTGATAGTTGGGCATGTCGAATTGATGCTATTCCTGTCGGCGATGGCCATGTGGAGTCGAAGCTCTTATTGCACATTTATTTAGATAAGTAGGGATGATTGTTCCTGAAGCAGATCAAGTCTAGGAGGTTGCTCTTTCGATTGGCTATTCTGCTCTCTCGGTTCAGCTTGCTCAAACCGTTAGTGTTGACGTCTATCCGATATCCTCCACGTGGCAGTGCTATTTTACACCTCCAACAATTGTCAAACTAGACCTTACCATAGGTAGGGGTGGCTGGAGATGATATGAAGTCTTAGCAAAATTTTGATCAGGAGTCCTCGTATATAGAATATATTATTTGAAATTTAAAATTTCTATTATTCTATATTAATATGATAAAGTAAACAATTATTGGTGTATCAAATAACATGAAATAAATTTTTTAAAAAGTAAAAGAAATGGAGAAAAAAATGTATAACTTTAAAACTGCTAGATTAATTTAAGCAAGTAAAAAATTTGAAGATTGGATTTCTACTTTAGTAATCATATAATCATGTAATCATACTTGGTGTCGGGTGGCCACAAAGGGA